TATAGAGATTTTGGTTCAATTCAAAATTTTATCTTCATAGCAGATATATGATTAGTCTTTAAGACTAACTACATTTAAAGTTACCTTTGCTTGTAATCCTACTAATTCCCAATTAACAGGAATTTTGAACATTAACACTTACAACTAACAACAAATGATTTTTTTGTCATATAAATTTGGAAATGTTCATAATGACAGTAAAAAAGAAATTGAAATGAAAAGATTAATAATGATTTTTGCATAAAACAGTTGTTGTTATGAAATAATGTTTATTTTGTAAAAAAAATATTTCTGTAATAAAAATATTGTTTGTTTTCATGGATATTATTATTTCATACAGTAATAAATAATCTTTTCATTATTTTTCCAGTTTTAATGTTATTTCTTTTCCAGCCTTTGTAACAGACTGTTATATACCTATGTACCTATAAACACTAATGGGTATGCCCCAATCCCCATAAATACATTGGACACTATTTTAAGTGGGGGTAATATGCCGTCTAAGTAGTCCACCACAAGCAGTGGTTTACCTACTTCATGCCACTGGCAAGTATTGAATTTTGTTAATGTTATAAAGATTTCCATTTCATTTCCAACCTTCATTTTGGTTATTCCTCATTCAATAACCTTTTCTAGGTTACAACCCAAACATACAGAAATAAGATCATTATTAGCAAGATGGGACCATAAGAAATTATTAAGTTGAAAACTGGATAGAAAATGGCATTGTTTTTCATATTAAATCATTTTAACAGTATTACTCTAACAAAAATCTTACTAGGATGTGCTGTTTTTGCTTTGTTACAGCAACAAAGACATCCACAAAGAGAAATCAGATCATTATTATGAGGTTGAATACAAATGCAGAACTCATTATTTAGCTGCAAACTGGATGGAAAATAGTTTTATTTTTCATGTTAGAGTAATATTGTTAAAATGCTCTAATTAATAATCTTGATATGTGGTTTTTGCAGTGCTGCATAACAAACAAACCTACAAACAAAAATCAAATCATTATAATATACAAAGGAATATTGGAAATTCTCAGCCTAACCAATACCAAAAAAAAGGAAATTTAATAGTTGGACATTTGATCAAATTTTTTGGAAATGTATTAGACTGAGAACTCTTCAGCAGTTACTCATAATTTGTAATTTTCCAAATCATCTTTCAATTTTCTATCTTATTTCAGTTTTCTATCCTTTTTATTGGTAAGCAAGCAGGGAACCACATGTCCTTGCTTTTTCAGTTTATTTTTAGGAAAACTATTAAGAGTGTGGTGTTTTTATTATTTCCTTCTTTTTAAAGATAAAGTGCTTTTTCTATACAGAACCAAAGACAGAAGCACAAATCAATTTGGTTAAGAGCAGTCCTGTTCCACCATTGAAGTGTTCTTGCTATTTTGGTTTGTTTTGATAACAAATATGGCAGTAGATCATTGAGATGATTACAAATTTATTTGAACAATGCACCAGCAACTGAATTGTTAGAAGGAAATTCATTTGAGTGTATCAAAAGTATTTACCGTTTTTACAGCTTAGACTTCATTTCATTTTTAAGATTATTACTGTATATTAAGGTACATCAAAAGTATTTTCAGTTTTTACAGATCATTTACACAAATGCTGATTTCATCTACACATCTTAAGACTATCTATGACTTCATTAAATCTTTAAGATTAATATATATTTAGGTCAAAGGCATATGACCCTGTTGCTGCTACTTTTACTTTGGTCCGTCACCAGTGAGCTTGCACTGCACCAATCCTGTATCCCCACATTTTGTTTTGTGTTTCAGTATATGCAGGAATATTGGTGAAGAACTCTCGAAGATCAGGCTTGACTCCTTTCTGTCCTGGTAATGATTGAAATTTAATTAACTATAACAACTCTCATTAACAAATGTAAAAATAACACCTTTTATTTATGGTACTATAATTGATTAAGATCATGAATACATGAACAAAAAGGATTTGTAGAAGTTTCCTCATATAAGGAATTATAAGTTGGGAGGAAGAGATTAACTGGCAGTTGCAGTTATGGTTAAAAAGCCCAGAGTAATTCAACTATTTAAATGAAGGCAGTTGATTGAGGTAATTCAAAAAATGGCATAGAGAACAGGATTTTAGCTGATTGAGGCAGAACGGGCATCAAGCAGGGAGAGTATTGGTCTACTAGTGGCAAGATGAGTTTGATCTTTTCTACTCTGCTCTTTTGGCAACTGCTTTTTATGGGGGTGCAAACCTTGATTACACTGCTCTGATTGGCCAGCCAATAATAATGCTTGACCTATGGTCTTGTTTCATACACCTCGAAGGGGAGGAAAGAAATCCCCACAAGAACCTAATATGATTGATTGTCCAATCAAAATAATGGTCCTGCATCATAAGTATTTGAAGGGGAGACAAGAAGCTCCATCCTAGTCCTTCTCTCTCTTTTGGGCCAATCAGATTTGTGACCTTGCATTGTTCATATTCACTCTCAGTGGAACATTTTCCATGTTCCAGAATCTCACCTTCATTTGACCTGATTATCACAGGTGTCATCATCAATTCTATCTGAAAGTGTGTTATATTCCTGATCAAAACAAATCTGACCTATTAAGATCTGCTTTGTATCACTCATTCCAACAAACAATTCCTTTATCAAAATTATCACATAATTTACACAGACCAAAGACTGTACCTAACAACCAATCCCACCCAAGCTTACAATTTCACTTCACACTATACTCCAAAAGTGTCACAAACCAGATAATTCATGGTATCACATTGCTTTAACGTGAAAATATTTTTCTTCTTGAGAAATCTTTATGCAAAAGCTTATTTCTGGTAAACATCTTCATCTATCTTTACTTGGGACCAGAGCCTGTTATCCTTAACATCATTCTGAATAATCACTCTCTAGTGATTATTCTGTTGAAATCTATTCTGTTTTTGTATTCCATATCTAATCATCTTTGTACAGCTTCAGGTCTCGATGAGTTTTGAATTCAGAGTTCTCTTAAATTGGCTGCCCTATCAAAGCTAAAGAGCCCAGGCTACTTTGATATTTCGCACATAACTGATGGTTGGGACAGTCAAGAAGAGGTATTTGCAAAAAAGTGAGTAAGGAAATTGCTCAAAATTAAAATTCAGATTGATGATTTTTCGTCTCAAGCCTCTAACCATTACAATAACCTTCATTGCCATAATAAGGTACACATCAAAAGATGATATAATGACTCGATTATAGTATTGCTATCATATATCTATAATATTGTCAATATATGAGCATTATATAAATGTTAAAAACAACTGATTAAAAAATAAAAATATTTTTTATAAACTTTAATATATGAATCATACTGTTATAGTAATTTATAATACTAAAGTCATTTCCCATTATAAAACTATTTTTTTGTTAACAATATGGGTTCGATTTTGGATTTAAAAAGAGAAAAATAGACAGTGAGAGTAATGGAGACTTTTCTATGAGAATCTTCAATTTTAGTTAATAATTACCATCATGGCTCCTTACTGATTTCAAATGGCCCAAATGCAACAAAAATGACAACAAATTATTCTTTTCTATAATTGAGGTTTTATAATCCTAACAGCTACCTCTGTCCCATAATAGTTGCTACATGTAGTCTATGAAATGCATATGAAAATATAACAAATATTATGGGACAGATGTAGTAATATTTTTAATATTATTGAATTAACAGTATAGAAGTTGAATTTTTAATCCTTTTTTGTACAAATGACAATTTTAAGTTAGATTTAAATCTTAACTTACCCAATCTTTTAAATACATTGTCCGTTGTTTCTCACCTCAACAAGCAATTGTTAGTGTCAACTCTTTTCTTTATTATTCTCACATGGCCAAAATGCAGCGAAGTTGATAACTCCATCATCAATGTAAGCATTTAGATAGTCCATACGTTGATTCTTTGCAGCACATTTTCTTACTTCATAGAGGAAACCATATCGTGAAACACCATGGCGCTGCCAATAATTGCTTTTAGTCCAGGAATTCCAGATGGCACTGACCAATGCATTTTCCTCATTATTAAAGAATTTGACATATGCCAGACTTAAATTGTTCTTTATATGTTTATTAAGCTCAAAAAGGAAATTGTCTACTGTTATTGCAGTCCAAGAGATAGTCTTCTTTTGTGCTTCAGTCTTTTCATATACAGATGACACAACCAGTGAACCATTGATGGACGTTAAAGATTGTATTATCAAATGAAATCCACATTCTTTCATGTTGCTCATCCTAAAAATATGTTCTTCTGTAGTTTGAGAAGAGTAAATTTTCTGAACTATGGTGGGTTGTTTTATAAAAACAATAACAAAATGCAACTGATCCCCAAGAGAATAATTTTCCAAAAGTTTGATTACATACCCATTTTCATACTGTTTTTGTACAGTTTCCTCAAAGTCATTATCATTAACATCAATTGTGACATAAAAAGATTTTTCGGTATTATCTCGATACCAGATAATATTAAAATGGGGCTGACCTTGCCACATACAACAGTTGATCCACTGAATATTATACCGAGTCCCAGTCATTAAGTTAACATATTCTTTCAAATAGGCATGTGGTAGTAAAATTGTAATCTCTTGTTTTTGATCTTCACTCATCACACTTAAATATTTATGACAGAGATTTCCAGGCTGCTGCCTCAAGGGTAAAAAGGGGACAGTGCTTAGTGCATATTTAATAAGACCATTCAGGTCCATATCTTTTGACCAGGCATTGAAATACAGGGCCCATGTGAGACCAGATTTGTCATGCATGACTGTACAAGATGTACCTTCCATTGCGCCAGTGTGGCTCCAAGAATGACCATTGTCTTCTACATCTATTCCTAAACCGTACCACTCTGTTCCATGTTCATAAGGTGGACAGGCAAGCATCATCTGAAACGTCGCTTCTTTCAAAGGGTGTTGTGGTTTGTATCCAGCTAGTGAGTCATATATGTGAACAAGATTTGATGTAGTGGCCACCCATCCTCCATATGCTGCAGTTCCATCCATGACAACTGATTTTGAGTTGGTTGGCATCCAAGCCTTTTTGGCAAATCCAGAAGGATCTGAATTTGGTGATGGGTTATTGTAGTATTCTACCTAAAAATAGATATATAAGAAAACATAGAAAAGTAAAATCAAGATCTGAAATAATGATTTTTCTTTCATTTTATTACAGGTATAACAGATGAGTAAAAGTCACAAATTTTGACAACTATTTTGGCTATTTATACTATTTACATTCTTCGGATTGTTGTTCTCATCTTTATTGTCACATTCCCAATGTTTTGGCCGTTGTACACTCCAGCCTTCTTCAGGTGATGATATTTGTTTGAATTTTGAACTAAATCCAGAGTAGTCAATCTGTTTGCTAGTGTTTCTGAAGATTGGTTGGATGACATTTTTGTAGACACCCTTCTCATGTTTATTTCCTGAAAGGGGTGACATATAACCTTCACATTTCTGGGTCACTCAATAAAGTCACTGATAATCTGTTCCATTTTCTTGACCCACCACTTGCAAATATTTTGACAGAGATTTGCAATTGTCAAGTTTTTTTTCCTGCAGTTTGTTGTTGTCTTGACATTCATAGATGAGAATTGCAATTCCAATGCAAAAACCATCATCTTCATTTTGTTTATTTGTGCATCTGTGCACAATGCGTATGCCATAGATGTTTTTGAAATTAACATAGCTATTGTGAAAGATGCAGTCTGTGCTAGTTGATTTGCTGCACTTTAGGACTTTGTGAAAAAAAAAATTGAATTTTCTTCAAATGAGGTTGTCTTCGGCGGCTTTTATTCTGTGATTTTATTGAGAAACCCAGGAATGTGTAGGTTATATGTCAGCCCATTTCAACAAATAAACATAACAAGAATGTTTACACAAACGTCATTGAACCAGTCTTCAGAAATGCCAGCATACAGATTGACTAACACTGGGTTTGGTTGAAAATTCAAACAAATATCAACTGAAGAAGGCTGGAGTGTACAATGGCTGAAACTTTGTGATTATGACAATAAAGATGAGGGCAACAGTTCAAACAATGTAGTGTAAATAGTTACAATACCTCATTTCAGAAATATAGACAAATATTTTGATTTTTACTGAAAATAACCAGAACAACATACACTGGACTGATGGCAGACTTGCAAATGAAAATGAAAAAACAATTGGACACGATAGTCAAGGGAAGTAAGAAGAAATAATTGATCATTAATTTTATGAAGATATAATGCAAGATAGTGAGCAAAAGGGACAGCCAAAGATGTAATTTACACATTGGGGATTTTTATTATTTTAAATATTTTAACAGATACCCATATTTGTGTAGATGCTCTGTTTATTTTAAACAGTATTTTATTTTGTCTACCAGCCTGAACATCATTTTCATTAATAAGATTTCCTGAATGTTCAGGCTGGTCGACAAAATAAAATAATGTTTAAAATAAATGGAGCATCTCCACAAATATAGGTATACACTAAAAATAACATTTAAAATAATAAAAATATGTTGAATTAATAAATACAATTAATAATTTCTTTAGAGATGTCAAAAATCAATAAGTGCAAAAATTCAATTATCTGATCAATGTAATAACATGAAGGAAAAAGTGACAGAAATTTGAAGGCATATAAAAATGGTGAAAGATATTTTTAAGAAACAGTAAGATATTAAGGGATTGTAAGAAAACATTAAAACAAAGAAAAATTGGCAAGAATGATATGTGTTAGTTAAAACGGGGTAATTTTATCACAAATGAAAAAAGAAACTTGAGGCAATCAAGATGTTTTACATGAATGTTGAGAATATCATAGACAGGGCATGTGACAACTGAGGAAGTTTTAATAATAGAAACTACAAAGAAAATATTAACAATCAGAGATCATCATTTACATGGCACGTGGAACTAGAACAGTTTACCCCAGTGAGCGAAATAAAGGGTTCATTTTGACATTCCAACCACCTGAAGAAGGCCGGAGCATACAACGGCTGAAACGTAATAAATATGGTGACAAAGATGAGGACAATAGTCCGAATAATGTAAATAATGTACATAATACCTCATCTCAGAAATATAGACAAATCAGAGATCAGTTAAATTTTAAGACGTATAATGAGAAAAAGAGGCTTGGAGAATTCAACACTCACAGGGCATACTGAACGCTAGAAAAGCAGGAAAATAGTGATTTATTCAACAAATTCATTTAAATGGATTGTGGAATAAGTTCCAGGCAGAGAAAAAGAAGTCATAAAGGAGAATATATTACAGATAGCAACAAAAGACAGGAAGCTGTGGAGAGCTATGATCACGCACATCTTGGGGAGATACGACACATAGAAGGAGAATGAATGTATATGTGGAAAAATTCAGATATAAATAAAATCTGTCAAAAGACAATATGAATAATGACCAAAGGAAAACTCTTCAATATCAATACATTTTGTCCTCTGATAGACTTTATCAAGACAAATATAAGGATTTTATTTGGCAACAAGTATTTATAAACAGCAGTAAATATATCATTAGGTTTTCAACATTTTTAAATTTAAAAACATTCGAAAATATTCTTTTAGCTGTGAAAATCAAGGTAAAGTATGGAAGATGCTAAGTGATATAATTTAATGTTTAATAAAGAAAAGTGAGTAAATATTGTTAGTGTTGAAGTTTTATTTTAATATTTGTTTATATATATTTATTTACTTATTTATATTAATGCAATTAAATGTAACAATCAGTCTATAAATGCATGTTGCAAAATAAAATTCTTACATTTCCTTTACGCATTTGATCATCTCTTTTATCAAGGATTTTATTTTGCAACACATTTATAAACAAAAGTAAAAATGCTAGTTTTTTAAAATTTTAAAATTTAAGAAATACTCATAAATATTCATCCGACTAACTGAAACGTCAAGTTAAACTATGGAAGATGCTAAGTGATGTAATTTAATGTCTAATAAATGAAAGTGAGTAAATGTTGAATTTATTTTAGTTTGTGATTTTATATTATTTTAGTTTGAAATTTTACACATACACACACGCACACACACACGCACACACACACATATATATATATATAGAGAGAGAGAAAATAGCATCCAAAATTAAGGAACAAAAAATGTATCTGTCTATATCTCTGTGATATGGTATTATGATTATTTACATTATTTGGACTGTTATCCTCATCTTCATTGCTATATTCACAATGTTTCAGACATTGTATGCTCAAAGGCACATGGCCCAGGTGTTGGTTAGATCCAGTGACTAGACCCAAATAGTTGTGAGTTCAATACCTGGCTACAGCAGTGGTGAACCATAAAACCTGGAGAATTGAGTTAAAAGAAAATAACTGAGACATCCGAAAAAAGCATGGCATATAGAACTAAAACAGTCTATCCTGGCAGATGAAATAAAGGGTTTGGTTTGAAATTCCAATCACCTGAAGAAAGTCGGAGCATACATCAGCCGAAGCATTATTAATATGGCAATGAAGATGACGACAACAGTCTGAATAATGTAAATAATATAAGTACTCAAAAAATATATTTAGTGAGATCCTGTGGATACTGATGTGCAGCAATGATTCAAAACAAGGATCTTAGCAGTAAATATTGATAAAACCTTTTCCATTTTTTGTTCAATTATTTTTTATTAAAAACACTGTTTTGTTCCTTAATTTTAGACACTTGATATTTGAATAAAGAATTAAATGAACCATAGCAATCTCTTTCTTTCTGTATCATTCCAAATAATTGACAGATTTAAAGCACAACTGAACTGCCATTTGTCTACATTGAGTGAAAATTTCAGAGAAATTGGACTTATATTTTTTGAGAAATTGAAGTTTTTATTTTTGTTCCTTAGTTTTGGATGGTATTATATATATACTAACAGCATAGCCCAGCGTTGCCCGTGCTTGATTCAAAAATCGTACAACTTATACAGCAATCACTATCACTTGACTTAAAATATTTTTGCCCTTCTTTGCCTTTAAAGGAGTGCCCTTTGCTCTATACTAAACATTAAATCTGTTACGAAAAAAGAACTAAAAATGAACACAAAACGATCAGCTTTAAAAAAAGGACTCGTAACTGGAAAAAACGAATGAAAAAAGAATGTTAACAACAAATACTTTTTCACACCCAACACAGTTCTGCAGAATCAGAATCAACGTTGAGTTTAAGCAAGCGAATGAGCCAATTGGAGTAAAGTGCCATGCAGATTTAAATTTTTCCCACTTGTGACAAATGCAGCAATCGATTTTTTTTGCATGCTAGCATGCTAGTTAACATTCATGTCAGTCAGCTGTTGGCTTTCACGCTGGCCAATAGAATCTTCTTGCCTATTTGTGGCAGCCAGCTATTGGCTCTCACTCTGGCCAGTAGAAAATGGCCGCAAACTACATGAAAACTGCCGTAGAAGCATGAAAAAATCGATTATTTCCACTATCGATGGGAGTTGGGAAATGCAAAGTCGGTCTTGGACTTGCCACTAACTTGGAGCATGTGCATGTAAATTTTGGTGCAAATCCATCAAAAATTGCGCTTGTGCATTTGTTACACACACACACACACACATCCTGCCTTTATATATATATATATATATATATATATATATATATAATTATACGTTTTACCAGTTTGTGACTGAAGGAATAATTCGAGGAGGATATAAATCCAGGGAGAACTCAATGTAGATTACAGAGCATTATAATGATAAGAAGAAGACGTAGACTTTAATTATCCATTTCATTTATAATCTTTATTTTATGAACATTGAGATGTTCAACTCATCAGAATGAAATCTCAGCAAATGAAAAAAGTACACCAGACAGACACATTAGATTAGTAGTGGGGAGGGAAGGTGAGAGAGAAGCGATCGGTAAATGGCTAAGGGATTAGTGGTTAGTAGTAGTCGGTTTACCTAGCCAACAATTTACTCTATACTTTTGAGATTTTAATATTGGTTTGTCTTTTCATTAACCAATACCATTTGCTGTTTTTAGGCAAGACAAAACAGGTCAATTCAAATTAATTTAATGAAAGAGATCTTAATCCAAATAAAGGTCAGTATTAATAGCCATACTTAAGTGTA